GTGTGCCTCTGGTGCGTGTAGCGGGCGAGGTGATGCGCGCTTGGGCCACCGCCGCAGACCAGTACGCAGACCCACACGGGGACCACGGCTTGGGGCTCACAGGCTCAGGCGAAAGGCTTGGGATTGCAGATTCTGGCGCAAGGGTGGAGAAAGTCTGCTGTCAGACATGTCCCTCCGGCGGGATGGAACACAGGCATGAGTATCGGTAAGCTTGTAAAGCAGAAGAGCTTCTTGTACCCACCATACAACAAATCACCGACAGCCGCAAGCCCTGTTGGTAGGAGGTGGGAAATGGCCACTCCTAGCACCTAGAATCCTAGAACGGCATGGACCGGAGTGTGACGGAGTCGAAATCTCATTGTAAAACTAGCTCAACCGGAGCGAATCCCCCCGAACCCCTTAAAATGCCGGCAAACCGTAGGAGGCCTCGACAAATCCGACCGGATCTAGGAGCCCGCAGTGCTGCCTTGAGGGAAGCCTGATGCTTGATGGTTGACCCGTTGCGCCTAGCACACAGCCGACCTCCCGATCCATTGGTCTTGTCGACATACGTCGGGGGGTCCTGGGTCGTGACCGATCCACTTACTCAATATAAGAATAGGATAATGGAATGTAGTGCGTATTGTAGTATTGTACAGAGTCGACCGATCCGATCGGTTTGTCTCTTTGGCATGCGTGGAGGGTCGCGGAGTCGTGAGTGCAAACTCTCTGCACAATGGTGGTCATCGACCCAGCTCTAGCGTGGCATGCTGTGCCAAGGCTCGCAGGGCCATCCTCCGTTGCCTCGAGCTTGGTTGCTTTCAACCTTGCATCCGAGCAAGAGACCGCTGAGCGCACGCCGCATCAGTCCAGGAATCATGGTAAAGCAAAGGAGGGAACTGGCAAAGCCACGACTTCCACGCAGGCTCCGGATAATCTCTGGGTTCAGGGTTTGCGTTCGTCATTTGAACTCACTTATTATGAACTAGCTCGACATCGGCAGTGAGTGACTTAGTGTGGTTGTTGTCAAGGACTCCACCAATGTGTTGCACAGCTTGTCGGAGGAGGAGAAGCACCCAGAAGGCACACCGAAGGAACACCAGCAGGGGAACGGCCATCGGGGAACTAGCAAGAGTAGCAGCAGTACTAGGACCAGTGGTGGTGGTAGTGGTGGTAGTAGTACAGTAGTAGTATGTAGTAGTAGTCGTCGTCGTCGTCGTCGTCGTCATCGCAGAAGTAGAAGTAAAACAAGTAGCAGAAGTAGTAGTAGTAGTAGTAGTAGTAGTAGTAGTAGTAAGCACTCCGGCTGAAATGCGTCCCAGCAGCGGGACTGATTTTTTCGAGGTGTAGCGCCGATGCCATGGACCAGCGCTTTTCTGCATGATTGATAAAGAGCATTGGATTTTGCGATGCTCAAGCAGCTTCTCATGCTTCTATGGGTGGCCGACTCGTCTCTGCCCAGTCTGGTGAGCATGGGCATGCTCATCACGCAGACTATGACCCACAGACTGCTACGGACGACGCAGGGTGGGGAAAGGGCCACACAGCCTTCTGGGTGCGAGCATGGAAGCTGCCCCACGTGCATCGATGGGATACGCCTCTGTGCGAATAGCCGGCCCGGTCCCAAGTCCGGGGTGAGATTCCTGGTGATTTCCACTCTTGCCATACAACAGCTACAGGATTCTCACAGTGTGAGGGTTCCAACTCTTCCCGCTGGAGTTGGGGGAGACAACTTCTATGTCTCTCTGCTGAGATATCCACTGTCGAAGCAAAGCGGGATTCAGGTCATTGATGGGAAGCAGGATCCTACTCACGACTTGTGCAAATATGTCCAGGGACCGTGCCTCTTGACGGTTTGTCTGAGGGGTAGGGGCGCCATGTCTGGCCCTTGTCCTATACGGCCCCTACACTGCTGCCTAAGCGCTTCACCAAGTCCTGACAGCTGCTTGCCGCAAAGGTGGATTGTCGGTGCTCCAGGTTTTTACCACCGTTACAGCCATGCAGGTGATGTGCAACGGGGGCCCCCTCTGCATGCATGGGGTCGTGCCGGCGGCGCTCTGACGCATTGGCGACGACCGAACTACACTCAAAGCTTACCCTACCACTGCTACCCTGCAGGTGATGAGCAACGGGGGCTCCTCCGCAAGCATGGGGTCGTGCCGACGGAGCTCTGATGCAGTGGCGACGAGCGCACTACACTCAAAGCTTACCCTACCACTGCTGCCCTGCAGGTGATGAGCAACGGGGGCCTCCTCTGCAAGCATGGGGTCGTGCCGACGGAGCTCTGATGCAGTGGCTGATGGTTGCTTTACAGCTTGAGTTGCTGCAGCACTTGTTTACGGACGAAGTTACCTGTAACATGGGGTGCCGTTCCTTCTGCCCCGTCGTACAGTGCTCTTACTGCGGCAGGCAAAAATATGAATCCTATGGGATTGCTCTGCATCACAGTCTGTTGGGCCCTCATCTATGAGGCTTAGTGTGCCATTTTTGGCCACTGTGTTCGAGACGTATCCCAAACAGGGAGTAATTATTTACCCCTTCCTTGCCGATAGGTGGTGTGGGTGCCATGGTGCCCCAACCAGGGTGCAACAAATGTCCCTTTCCAGGAGGGATACAGCTTAGTGGTGCCGTTGTGGGCCCCTTTGTCTCCTAGATTGTGAGCCTTCTATGTGATGCATTGAGCTGACCATTTGGCTTAATTTGGCCTGTTGTGGTATTCTTGGGCTGCTCTTAGTAGCATGCTGCTTCGAGTAGGCTTTGGTTGCTATCAAACATTGCAACGAGCACGTTTTTTCACCTTTTTACTCATGCTTTCTCACTGTGACGGATGGGGACAGAGCGGCAAGTTGCGCTATGCGGCGAGTCACTGTAGTGCCCCTCCTCACAGATGTTTTCCCTCAACTTGGACGAAGTCCTGTTGAGTAGGGCGCAAGTTTGCAGCTATTCGTAGCGGAACTTGCCCATGTGGTTCTAGTGCTCTTGAAGCACCGGTGCAATGCGCTGCCACGTACCTGACGCCAAGCTGAGTGACCGG